ATGAAATATGCTCTGATGCCAAGGACACAAAGTGCTAAAATCGTAAACTGTCAGAATGATCCAAAAAGGCAGCATTTCCTTCTAAGCTGGATTAATATCTGCATATTTACTTTAATTATATCTTAAATTATTAATTTTAAAAATCCATTACAATGTCAAGGTAATTGCTTACAATTTTTATTTACTTGTATTTGATCAGCTTTTTAACTGGTCCAATTTGAACAAGCCACGCTACTTTTTACTGCACCATGTTGAAAAGAAAGAGTTTGCACACTACACCATGAAATGCCTTCAAAATGAAGAGCTAAAGACTAACAGAGCACTTGACAAATCAGCACAAGCAATGTGATGCAAGACAACAGGTGACCAATGCTAGTGTATTGGAGCCCTGACATGCAGTTACCTCTGAAATCATCATCCTGCTCAATGTCTCACTGCCTCACTGGAGGTACCTGCGCGATACCAGACATGCACAGCCTGGAAAACACCACCCGTACTGGTACAGAATTCAGCAATCGCCTAAGAACCACTAAACATTAGTGGCATCACATCATTGATTCTGAATGTTCCTGTGCTTGAAGAAGACTCAGATAAACTATTAAAAAATGATCTCACTTAGCATTTTGAGAACACTATGAACAGAATTGCCTTCAACAGCACACAACAGATACTGTATGTTCACGAAAATAAATGTTTTACGTCATGTCAAGTCTAGCTACTGGAAAAAGCAAGTTCTTAAAAGTCCTGCACAAGCCCACGAAAGAAAGTCCCAGCCACCTACCGTACTATAGCGCTGCGCCGGATCGCTAATGTACAACATTTTAATTTTCCCACAATTTGGGTGCGATGGGGAATTGTCCCATCACACCTGTCATGTGGCTGGACGGTCAGACAGAGACAGCTAGCACATTAAATCTGCTGATTTGAGCCCTGGGCAGCCATTCCTGGAGGGACAATAAAGGCAACAGGTCTGTTTTGGGATGTGATGGATGTATTTGAAGGGCTTGATCGCTTTTTCAACTTTCCCCATCTCCCTTGGCCCTCTCAACTGGCTTGCATCTAACAACAAATCTGGGACCTCCCCCTTTTTGTCTCATGACTATTCATTAACCTTCAAGGCAGGCCCAGGCTTGCCCACTGATGTATTGGGCCGTACCAGTTTGCAGATAAAAAGGTGGGACTGGGTTCCTTTTTTTAATTAAAGGCCTGTGATTTAGTCTTTTTAAGAATAAAAAGTGAGAAGACAGATCTGAGCGCACAAGAATGTACTGTAGTTTTTACTCTGCCTGACTCTTGATTGGAAACAGTATGTTTGAAATAAAACTTATTTTTCTTTTATTTAAAAAATATCTACTTTGTTGTCTTATCTAGCATGTTGGATGCAATTAACAGAATTTGGCTTTCATAACAGCTGAGTATCTGCATTTTAGTGTGACTGATGTTTTCATACCTTTCAGATGAATTTAGCATCTATGCAAGTACATGAAGATTTTGCTATGTAAACTATTTTAATGTTGCAGTTTATAGGAGAATAAGGAATCTGTGTGGATGCTTCAGATATACGTTGAGATTAATGTATAGGATCAGCAATATAATTGATATAAAATTTTGTATAGATATATACATATTTTTTTTTTACTCTCTTAGTCTTAAACTGCCTGATCCTAAAAGAAAAACACACCTAATGGAAGGCTGTCACGTTGTCACTGCCCTGAGAGGTTTTCTTTTCCATAAAAGGTTAAAAATTGCAGTCTATTAATTTCTGCTAATCTGGAAGTGATCTCAAGCACATAAGATCATCAGCACATAAACAGCAATACGCTTCCTATTTACCTGTCATTCAGGCTATAATGCAACTACAAGATACAATCCCACTAGAGGTACTGTATGATGGAAGAGAACGATGGAGGAGAAGGAAGAAATCACACCTCTCAGTGGATTAAGAACGGATTCACAATATGCTTTAGCAGTCTTCTTGTTCTACATGAAAACTGCATCAGCACATACTAAGCAGTCGAGGAGATCAAATCTAGTCTCTGACAACTATTCTTCTACTGTGTTGATAGGAGACACCAAACATGAGTCTGAAATTCAAAGGAGTCAACCCTTTGTTTTTACAACTAAGATAGAACATGTATTAAAATTTAAAACCAATACCTGACAACATAAAGATTAGATACTGACACAGAAGAAACACAACAATCAGGTCTAATGGATTAATGAAATATTTAAAATATAGATATGAAGCCCAATGATGGAAAATGTGAACAAAACCCCACATCAAAAATGTTTTCAGGATGAAATGCAACACACTGTAACATTATCATTTTTAGTTTGACAACCACGTAGAGCTCCTTAAACAACAACTATGTTTTTAGATCACGAGAAAGAGCTAACTACGACAGGACCTCAACATTTGTTTTTCTTGAAGGTATGTACTGTAGTCCTAGGCCTGTGTGATCTTGCATTGCCATTCCAGATTGGCTGGAACAGACCAACATTGGCACAAAGGCTTCATCAATGTATCAATAAGCAGTAAGGCTATCCACAATTTGCACTGAAAGTGTTTATAATTTAAAGGAGATTCCTCTCCACATCAACACACTTCCACCTGTTGGTTTGAGGAACACAACAGTTAACATAATGCTTTCCATGATGTCTACATTTACATCGGCTTTCACCAGGTGTGTCTACAGCAAAGCTGCATTCATTTGAAAATAAAAAACTACACCTTTCTCTCAGATACCACTTCAACTGTTCTCTGCTCAGCAGAAGATGATGATTTCATCTCTCAGTTGTCAATGTTAACCTTGAAAGGACTCGGAGCATGCAAATTATTTTCCTGCAGGGTGTTACACTCTGTCTGCTGATACAGTACATAGGTTGTTTCTTCCAGAAATGTCCTGTGCAGTAACTACTGCAGTCTCAAAACAATTATATGCTGATGGATTTGATGGTTCTGGACTAATATGGAGACACAGTGCCTTCCAGTAGCTCACAAAGTGGGGTTCCTAGTTTCTAGGGATTAGTCTTCCAATTATTAAATCAGATCATTTAATTTGCTGACCATTCCTGAAGACAAATGGGCTACCTTCAAATCAGGTTGATGATAACCACGAGATCTTTGTTATGAAGATAGGACTTTGTTGTATCTTTCATTGCTCTTTCATTAAGTGAAATGAGTAGTTATGCAGATTCTTAATAAACTAATTTTGCAATTTAAACAACTCAAATGCTAAACACTAAAGACACAGATTTTTGAAAAAATCTCATATTGAACTGTGTTTTTGAATTAAAATGTAAACATCATGGATGTTCCCAATGAGCTACTGATGCATAATTTAAGATGATTTTTGTTTTAATTCTGCATTAGTATAAAAAAGGGCATTAGATATGTCATTGGAAATTAGCTTTAATTTTGCCCCACTGGAATTAAACAAACAATTATTTAAAGGAAGAAAACATAAATTCAGAAATTGTGTCCAAGAGTCTCACTGTGGATCTAAACTGTTTTGCCGTCAATTTCTAATCATTTGCAATTCTTAACATGTATTATGTCATTTATGTTTCTCTAAATAAACTGGTAGTTTTGAGTGCAGAAATCAACCCCCTTGGCTTGTGTCATACAGAAACACTTCAAAGTCACCCGAGTCTACTGGTCTACAGATGGAAGAGCAGCATGATCTCATGTTGCAGGCTTGGCTTGGGCTCTAATTAGGGTGTTAACCTTCCATTAAATCCCACAGCAACTCATTCAACACCATGTTTGCAACAGCAAGGAGGGAAAAGGTCTTGGAAGAGAGGGAAAAGGAGTGGGAATCCCTCTTTATCAAAAGGGAAAATGTTCAAGATGGCCTGGAGCAGTTATGCTTGACTTATAAAACTGATCCTTCTAAATCTGATATAATTATACTTCAAACGCCCTCCAAAGTTTTTGTTTTTTTATATAATTCTTTAACATTTTAAATCACTTACATTTAATATATAAAGTGTGTTACTTTTAACAGAGCTCTTAAAACAATGACTGGTCAACATTGACTTTTGTAAGAAAAACAAAAAGGTTCGGTACACTTTCTCGAGATTCTTTTTGTAAATGAACCACTTTGAACAAACACAACAATGTCTTAAAATCAGAAGATTTTTATTGCTTTCTATGTCTGAGTACATCTAAGAATGGTAACAGATTGTGACCAAAAACTGTAGCAGAATGAGGTTTTTCATTTGTGAATGATGTGGGTTTCATTTGTGATATGTAGCATACATATTATATATATTATGAGCATCCACAGTTTACTCAAAGCCCCCACAAGTGTTTTCTACTATTCTAAGAACTTTGTTATTAATAGACTGTCTTGTGGGTACGAGTGTAAATTGGTAGTTATGATCTAGAAATCTTATTTCTTCTCATTGTTTCTTCAGTGGTAGAATCCTCTCAAGCTATGTGGGAGGCAGGGGTTAAATTCCCAGCCAATGCATTGCTTGTATAATTTGTGACAGCAGGGTAGAGTAGTGATTAGGGCTTTGGACTAAGAGGTTGCATGTTCAAATCCTGGAAAGCACACTGCTGTTGTACTACGTACTCAAAATGGCACTATTTTTGCCCTGCTGTATGATTATTTATGTATTTCAACTAGAAATTAGTATTTTGAAGGTTGGCAATCTCAATTCACTGATCTGGTTAAATCAAATATTAGAAATGAACAATCTTGATGAGACTTGTCAACAACCCAAGAGCAGGAACAGCCAACAAGAAGTGTTATAGCTATGATTTAGCAAAAGACCACATACAGTATAGTATACCAATCAAATCCAATCGAATCATTGTCAGTTGTCTCTGACCCATCATTAACCATTTTTTCCTCTCTGAAATGCTACTTTTGTACTGTGAAATCGGTCCACAGAATTGTGCCTGTCCATTAAAAAACCTGTCCCTTTTCTTTTTAAAAAAAGATCTCAACAACATAGAGAGTCTCTCAACACGCAGCCTGTTTATGTCTTACCATGACAGTCTCATTCATGTCCCTCATGTGAAAGACGTCCATGCAGATTTCCGCTCGGTCTGTAGGCAAACTGGTAGAAGCTTCATTGCTGCCAGAGTGGCTGTTTTGTGGAAGATCAAAGTAAGTACTGTCTGGCTCCCTGAGAGAAGAACAACAGGAGATTTTGGATGTCTTCACTAATGTTATGTTGCTTCATGTTTAATACATTAAAAAATTCAAACATTTCCAAAAATTCATTTTGAAATCTGAACATCCAGCATGATTGAGCACTCAAACAAGAAACTGCTGTAGAGAGTTGATTGATGAGGAGAAATACATCCCACAATCTTCCTTCAAAGGAGATACTGGAGTTACAACTCAATTGCCTACAATATCTGCAATACTCATTATGGATTATCGTTGTGCCATGACGACTAAGACATTGTGTACGGAGTTAGTTCAGATCAAGGAGACCCACTGCAGTCTTTGTTGGAAATTACATAAAACCGCCAGATGGACAGGGCTTGTTTGAGTTTGATCTGAGGGCTGACAATGAGCCGCAACTCCTTAAGGGTATTAAATGTTTTTTTCCTTAATTTTTATGAACCAGAAAAAAACAATAACGTAATACAGCATTTATTAAATTGAGTTCCAAAAGGAGTAACAATCAAAGGAGACACAAAAGTAAAAAGATCACTGCTAAGGGCTCAGTAAGTTCTGTATGTGCTTGTAGCTCAAGACCAGGGGTGTTAGGAATGAACTTCTGGAAATAGGCGCTACTGCATTAGAATGGAGCCGTGATGAAATGAGTATCACACAAAGCGATGGCAAAGAATATACCAGCAATGTCCACACAGCCTTCTGGAGAGACACTCCATGGAGGTGGAGGTGGAACACTATACATAATCTTCCACGTTTTCTGTGCTTATGTTTTGGCAAGTGACATCCCTTTTCATCTTACCTTTGGTCTATTCTCATTCTCAGATAAAAACACAAAAAATATGCTAATTTAGAAACAAGGCGAGCTGCTTTACACGTATCATCACATCCACTGAGTGGTGTTTGTTGGGTCTCTTTAACCCCTCAAGCACAGTTTACAGATGACACTGATCACAAACCTCAGAACAAGTTTAAATAGCTTGTCAGTCCTGCAGTTTGCCAGCTAACATGCATTTATGGCCTCGTGTTTGTTTTCACCAGTTGTTGAATGAGACATTGTGACAAAATAGTTTTCAACAGAATGGAGTAGTGTGTGGTGTGTAATAACTATAATATTTAAAATAATAATTATGGTTGATAATGATTAAAAACCCTATACCCAGAGGGCAATTAATAATGTTTGCTTAAAATGCATAAAGGGGTTATGCTGCTGTAAAACATAGGCGGAAAAAAAAACAAAATATCACCTTTAAATTAGATCAAAAATCGCATTTGGGTACAGGAATGTAATCTAAATGAGTCAAGGGTTTTGGAATTTGCATCGGTCAGAACAATTCCAAAGCCATAGGCACTAGGATATTTGTGAAATTGCAAAATAATTTCATACGATTGAATAAAAACTACTAAACCTTCAATGACATAACCCACCTGTAGAACACGGTCATACTGGGACATTACTTGCTACGGTTGGGATGTGAAAGAGAGAAAAACAGTTGCAACCAAAACTAAAAAAAGGGACTCAAGAGACGCCCAGATTGGGTTTCAGGGATGAGTCCCCCAACACTTTTTTAAGCAGAGAGAAGTATATGTCATGCTACGCTGAGCTTGAGGTATTTCACCAGCACTTCTGACGCCTGACCGCTAGAACTCGCATTAGAGTAATGAGGGAGTGTGAACTCACAAGGTGCTCCAGAGGTGCTCGAAGGTGGTCCCCTCGTCAGTGGATGAAGACTGAGCCATCTTGGCTAGGGCGTAATCCACCGAAGGGTAGATCACTCTGCAAGAAGCAGACAGACAGGGCTCTCACTGCAGGCGTTCACAGCTGGCAAGCAATACTTGCTCGAAGTTTTCTCAATGCCAGGAAAATGAAAAAGGAGATTTCTTGTGCTCATGAGTAATACTAATTTCTACCACAATGCTACCACAGACATAAATGGTTTTGTATTTTAAAGCAGGTAGAAATCTAAACTCAACCTTTCAGAATACATAATTAAAATGTAATTTTTCACAATAATCATAATTGAAAAAAACACATTCCTATGCATGTTACTTTAGAAGAGCAACCCTCATCTTATATGAATATGAAGTTTTCATCCCATCGTGTCTCACATAGCCATTTCAGTGCAATGCTTTCCCCAGCCTGGAGGGGGAGCCACACGCAGACCTGCCAGTTTTCAGCCAATCGCCAGGGCAGGTTCATCTCTGCCAGCTCAGGCATGTCTGGACCTGCCCCCATTGGGACACTGAGACCCGCCATCAGGGGTTCCCTCCCCAGTTTCCTTCCTCCACTCAGCACAGAGTGAGGAAAAGTCCTTCCCCGGAGATTTTCAGGAGCAGGCTTTTAAGTGGCACACCTGATACTGGAGCAGATACCATACAGTGGCACACTGCTGCACAGCTCAGGAAGAGTGAAAAGCAGCACACTGGTTTCAATAACTCTGTGCCTCCTTCGATTTTACTGATCAGCCAACTGAAAACCCAATTAACTGTTTCAGTTAAAAATACAACTCAATTAGTTTGCTCTAGTTTTCCAGTGTTTTAATATGCCTCCCCAAATGAGGACAGTTCTGGGAATCTGAATCTGGACAGTAGAAGTATATTGGCAGGTGTCCGATTGCAGGTGATATGAATTCACATACTGTATGTTTACATTCCTTCATTACTGGGGAAATTTCAGTTGGCTCACATTCCATTTTATATTCCTTTGAAATTACATTCCACATTAGATGAAAATAAAACCAAAGGAAATATTTTTTTAGTATTTTTAGGTTTAGAAGATTAATATAAAATAGTTATTTACATTGTGCTGATGTTCCCTCATTAATAGCAGCGCCTGACAAACAGATGACAGGGTCATTCAATTTCCTTCTCATATTAATAGTAATTCAAGCCACACACATGTAATGTGGATATCCAAAAGATGTACTGTACATTTAGAAGAACAAGCACGGACACAGTTTTGTTGTCTTGCTGGGACCCTGGGTTCAGTCCCAGACCTGGGGTGCAATCTGTGTGGAGTTAGTATGTTCTCCTCATATTCGTGTGGATTTCCTCAGGGGGCTGCAGTTTCCTCCCACAGTCCAAAGACATACTGGTAGATTAATTGGCTTCTGGAAAAACTGTTGTGAGTGTGCACATGTCTGTGTTTGTGTCTGTCTGCCCTGTGATGGACTAGTGTTCTATCTACATAGCCCGGGTGTATCCTGCCTTGTTCCTGTTGCTTGCAGGGATGGAAAATGGATGGATGGATGAATGCACTGATGAGAACAACAGTAAATGTGTACGATGTACTCCAATGTCAACCAATGCTTACTGCATAGAGGCTGCTCTGCACCTACATAAGATTGGGTTGGAGAGGTACAGATAAATGCATTGTGATCAACTACCTCCAGACATTTCATCTGAATGAACTGATGAAGAATGTACAGTACAAATGGAAACATCTGTTGTGCTTCTCATTTGTGAAGCCAAAAAGAAACCCTGAAGCTAAAAAAAAATATCATTCTGTATTTTCCCTGATTAAAATTCTGATTTGTGTTCAAGCAGCATATTGAAATAATTATGTAATGTAACTTATCTCGACAAGTTTACAAGTTTGATTCACTTCGTTCATTCATTATATCCAGTAAACCCTGCAGAGATGATGGTAAGGTTGTTTTCTCAAAGTACTTTATTTCATTCTCTCAAGTGCTGAAAAAAACAAGAGCTCCCTCATGTGGACCCTGTAATTAACTGCACCTGGGACGCTTTTAAAGATGGGTTTGTGTTTGAAACAAATAATAATTATTTACCCTTACGTAGTGTTTTTCTGAACACTCCACTCAAAGTTCTTGATAGATAATGGGGACTCCCCTCCACCACCACCAATGTGTAGCCCCACCTGGATGATGCGACGGCAGCCATAGTGCACCAGTACGCTCACAACACATCTGCTATCAGTGGGGAGGAGAATGGAATAAAGAAGCCATCTTGAAAGCTAAAGATTTTTTTAGGAGGCCATGATTGGTAAGGGCCAATGGGAAATTTGGCCAGGACACCGGGGTTACACCCCTACTCTTTTGGAGAAACGTCCTGGGATTTTTAATGAGTCAGGACCTTGGTTTTACATCTCATCCGAAGGACGGCGCCATATTACCCATCACTATACTGGGGCATTAGGACCCACACAAACCTAAGCCCCCCACTGATCCCACTAACACCTCTCCCAGCAGCAACGTTAGCTTTCCCAGGAGGTCTCCCATCCAGGTAATGGCCAGACTCACATCTGGTGAGCTTCAGTGGGTTGTTAGTTCTAAATTGCAGGGTGATATAGCTGCTGGCTATATATATATATCATCTAAATACACAGGAATATTAGTAATACAAAAATCTATACTGACATACATGGATTGCATGATCCTGATTACACATAATAAACACAATGGTTGTTACCTTTCTACTGCAGGTAGAACCCAGACAAATACAAGATAACATTTAGTTTCAACACAAAAAGAGAGCCAGTTGCATCTTATTCTTGTCCCAAAGTTCTGATGAAATAAAGTGTGCAATTATATGATCTACTGTATATGGCCTCTAATGCTTTCTACATTTCACAGAAAAACTTAGAAATGGATCAGACTGTCATACTGTTATTACTCTCACACTTTCAGTTGCAGAATATTTTCTTTTTACTGGACCCTACTGTAATCCTTTCATTACCCATATTAACAGCAATACAGAATTTTGTACAGGGCATACTGCACCATCCCTTTGTGGATTGAACACACTAGATTATGGGCTGTACTGATTATAACAGTATGGCAGGGAAGATGGGAGCCACAGAGAATACTCCTTCAGAAAGAAGCATTATCTCCAAGAGACTTAGTCCATGCTACACGAAGTAACTTGCAATCTGCACCATTGTTGTGCACAGGCTCAGTGGGTCATGGTGATCCTTCACCTTGTTTCAAAGCAGAAGATTTTGTCTGAAGGAAAATGCTATGCTCTTTCAAAATTCCCCGGTTAACACATACTTTCAGCAAGGCTTTAATAATGATAACTTTCTGCAGCCTCAGAGAATACCCCTGAGGGTGTTCTCTGAAAGGGAAACAAATATCGCTTTTACTCTCTCACTTTCAGCTGCAGAATATTTTCTTTTCACTGGATCCTACTACAATTTTTTTCATTACCTAAACTAGCAGCAATAGAAATGTAAGTACAAACCCCCACTTCCCCAGAAAGTGCTCATAACATAGTAACACAAAGCAATCACTTGAAGACCATTTTAAAGTTTTGTTATATAACATAACTGAATCGAACAAATTATTTTAAGCCATGCAACAGATATCGCACTTTTATCTCTTAATACGAACTGAAAAGGGCCATTTTCATTAACTCTTCTGTATTTTACAATGGGTAGCTATGTGCATTTAAAAACTTCCTCTCACACTCCTACCTACACACTTCAGGGTATCAGTGGGAACAAATAACTTGAAGGACCTTATTTCTTTGATGATCCTAGATCCTTTCGGAATGCATAACCCTATATTCAAAAAATATAAACAATGACAGAAACTGTAAGAAGACAACGTGTGGTGAAAGGTGACCATGTCCTAAAATTTTACATTCCAGATATTTCACGTATTTCAATACATGATTGAAGTATAAAAGTTCACAAGAGCAAATATCACTTTTGCCATCATGCGGAGATTCTGGAAAAGGGCGGATAGGATTTTGGTAACCATGCTTGTTTTGCATGCTTGTTTTGTGGGCTTTGGGCACAAATGTAAACTAGCTTGAAAGCACAGTGGAACAGCATGACGAAGCCCCTCAGAAAATGCACAATACAGCCACACAAAATGGCAAAGAGAAAGGAGAAGAGAGCGATAAATTGATAGAGCAAACAAGCAAAATAATTTTCACAGTCATTCGAGCTCCTTAGGAAGGAAAGTACAGTTCATCTGGAGGTGCAAAAACGAAACAAAAAAGGAAAGCTCCTGTGTTTCTTTAAAAAAAAAACGATCTTACTACGCTGTAACTTTATTAGAAAGTAATTTACACTTCTTTTCAGCTCAAGTGTAAATGCAGCAAAGGAATGATGTAAGTCCTGTAGTCCCACATTGGTACATTAGCTGTTTATGAAGTCAGGGATTTGGATAGGTGTATCAGTCCAGCAACAGACTCGACTACAAGGCTTGTAAATACACACTAGGCCCCTGGTGATGTGAAAAGTCCCTTGCAAAGGCCTGCCACAAGCCCCATCTTCTAAAACAACCGAAACATTACGTTTATTAATGAACTAGAAAGGAAGAAATATGGAGTACTTTACCAAGTTCTCGTGAAACTCCTGGTGCATTAATTTTGGAGGTGCTACAGATCCTGTCGATTTGCAAGGCCAAAGCAGTTCAGAATGACTTTAACCCACGTTGGAAAACGGAAGATAACCACTCTGAAATCACGTGGTTAAACTTGTTTGAATGAAATAACTGCCACAGAAGTGAATGAGGCAGATTGAAGCCTGGGAAAACGTGGCACAAAGCACAAATGAGAAGCTGTAACCAAAATGGCGACTAAAATATGTTATATTTTGTAAAATACTTCAGAACAAAATTTAGATTTGTTAGATTTTTTTTTTACAAATGTAAGTAGGTCAAAGGTATTGCACATAGATTCCATTTATGAAGAGCAAAAACTCTATAGCATCAGGTTTACATAGTAAATCCAAAATGGGTAGCTTAAGGTATTATTGTACCTTTGTACAAAGACAATATTTCTTTATACAATTAAGAAATGAAATAA